TTTTGGAGAGATTTTATTTCGCTATAGGGCGTGTGTGCTCGCCAGACAGAGACATAGAGACAGAAAGCGAGAAATCACCCCCCAGGGTGGATGGTCACGCCGCAATCCCTTCTCCTCCATTCTCCTCTCGGGATCTTGGGCACGGACGTGCCCGGTGTGAGTTTTAAGCCACCGGGTCCAGGGAGCGAACCGCGGTTGACTACGTGGGAGTCCAGCGACATAGCCAATACGCTAACTGCTGGTTCCCCAGGTATGGTATTTTTTAATCTTTGCGCCCACCCTATAAGGCAGGCATGATTGTTATGCCCATTTATCAGATGAGAAACTGAGGCTCAGAGAGGGGAACGGACTTACCAAGGTCATACAGCCGTAAGAGGCAGAGTCTGGACTGGCTCCCCTCCGCCTCTTTCCAGTGCTCCCCACTAAATGGGGTCCGGACTCACAGGCTGTGCTTGGTCTCTCAGAGAAAAGGCACTCAGGAAAGGTCCTAGGACTGGTGGTAGAGTTGCCCTCGCCCAGCTGGCTTTTTCTCTTTGTTTCAACGGGCACATCTGAGTGGTGTGTGTAGACTAAGGCTCTGAGGACTGAAAAGCTGGGGGCTCTCCTGTGTCAGGGTGGAGAGGGCTCTCAGGTGTGTGACGCGCTGCGCCCTAAGGTATAGCAGGTGGTGGGTACAATGTGGTAGGTGAGTGGACACGGGAGCCGGCAGATGGCGGCCCTGATGGCCTTGGCTGAGTCTGTTTACCCGCCTGTAACGGGGACTGGGCAAAGAATCTTCTATGCAGTTTCCAGGGAGGTAACATTCATTTCAATATGCGGTAAAAAGGGCACTACTCCGTGCCACCACTGTTACCGCATAACTCAGCTCACCCTATAACCAAGCTGTCGAAGCGTGGACCGATGGTGGTGAGGGTTTCCAGGGACTGGGGTAGGGCCCCACCAGCAGCTGAGGGCTGCCGCTGGAGGCTGCCTAGGGCTCTGAGTCGGGTGGGTGCCAGTTTAAAGCTTGGCTCTGTCATCCGTAAGATGCCCAGCCTGCCTGGGGCAGATGACTTGGCCTTCCTGAATCTCAGTTTCCTCAGCTGTCATAGGGAAATTGCAACCATCTCTCCTGGCCAGCTCTCTTTTGAGGATTAATTAGAAGTGAAGGGTTTTAGCACAGTTTCTGGTTTATAGTGGGTGCTGGGTCAAGGCGAGGGCTTTTTAACCCAGGTGCGTGTGTTGGGGAGGGGTACTCTGTAGGGCGGTATTGGCCGGAAGCCGGAGATGCCAGCTCTGCAGGTCCTACCCTCACCTGCACCTGATGGGCACGTACCTTTCTGAGTGTGCATCTCTGGGAGCTACCTGCTCCTCTGTGTCCGCCACGGGGTCCTCAGGCTTTCTTGTGGGGTCCATCTCCACTGCTGAAGGGCCAGGTCCCGCTGCTGGAGTGTTCTTCAGGGGGCTGTTGGCCTTCACCACCACCTCCTTGGCTGCCTCCAAACCTGGGGGGTCGGGTAGACCTCGAAGTACCAGGTGAGGCTCAGGGCTCCCCTTCCGGGCTTGCTCCTGAGCCTGGTCTCGAGCCCGGTCCCGAGCCTTCTTGGTGTTGGGGCGAGGCATGGTTCCCATGTGGCTGTACATGTCACTGGAGCGGGCATAGGCGGGAGGGCTTTTGGGAACTGTCACCATGTCATCCTGGGTGGCCTCAAATGTGTCAGGCTCCAGCTGGGACTGAACACTGATGGGGGCCGAGGGCCGTCTCAGAGTGAAGGACCGAGGGAGGTTGGAGAGACTCCCAAAGCCCTTGAACTTGAAGAATTCTGGCAGGGGAGAAAGAGAGGGAGAGAAGTTAAGGGCAGCGCCAGCGTGATCATACAGCAGTGAGAGAGACCCGCAGTCCCACTCCGTGAGGGCCGGTAGGGCCACGCCCACGGACGTGGTACAGCATGGCGGCTCTGGGGTCACCCAGCCCTGGCCTTGGATCCTGGCTGTGACCTTAGGCAAGTCACTTGCCCTTTCTAAGCCCTGTTGTCCATAAGTAAAACAGCGGTCATAGCAGCAGTCCCCAGCCTTTTTGGCACCAGGGACTGGTTTCGTGGAAGACAGTTGTTCTATGGACCGGAGCTGGGAGGACGGTTTCCAGATGATTCAAGTGCATTACATTCATTGCGCATTAGTTGTATTATTATTACATCGCAACAGTAAGGACTGGGACCAATCTATGGCCTGGGGGTTGGGGGTCTCTGGATTATAGGATGCTCCCGCCATGGGCAGTGGGAGGATGGAAGAACATGTGAACGACATGCTCAGTGTGCTGCCGCACACCGAGTTTCCGTGAGCAGCGGGGACGGTGCCGGACACACATGCCTCGGCCTTTGTCAAACACGCAGCGCGGATTCCCGGCACATACCAGTGGCACAAGTTTCACCCCCATTTTCCAGATGAAGAGACCGAGACACAGCTGAGGCAGTGCAGTGACCCGTCCGAAGGTCACAGTGCTGATAGGGGAGGTGCGTGTGTGTGCATGTGTGCGTGCACACACCTGTGTGTTGGGCAGGAAGGCGGTGTGGGTGGGGTAAAATGAGGGGTTGTCTTGAGTCTGAGGGTCACACTCTGTGGTTCTCTCCTTCCTGTCAGCTGAGCCCAGGGTTCTGACTCTGCAGGCAGTGCTCGGGAGATACCATCTCCTTGTTTCCGCAGGGGTGCATGTGAGCTCGCTCCTCCCGCCCCAGCCGTGGGACTGTCCCTCCTCAAAGCCACCTGAATTCCTTCCAGCCTCCAGATGAGCAAAAAGGGAAAACCCTGGCATTTCCCGCTCCCGGGCACCTCCTCATTCTCACACTCAGGCTGGAATAGAGGTAGGGTGCCCTCGGTTGACAAGGGAGGCAGCTGAGGCCCAGAGAGGGGAAGGGACTGCCCAGGGCCACACAGCCAGGCCATGGCTGAGCTGGGCTGCTGGGCCAGGGCTCCAGAGCATCTTCCCAGTCGTGCCCATCCTCACTTGGTCTCAGCCTCTGCCTCCTGAGAAGTGCTGGCAGAAAATGCCGGTGTTCTGTTTTCAGACAGCTGTGCACGGACAGAAAGGGCTGGTGGCCAGAGGTAGGGCCATCCCTGCCTTCTTTCCTAGCTTCTGGTTCATCTCCTGGGCACCAGGGGTCTGGAGGAGATGATAGGGAGGGTCAGGAGGGAACATGGGGCCCAAGGTCCTGGACTGGGATGGAGCCCTGCTCTGCAGCCTGCAGGACCTGAGCCATCTCTGGGCCCCAGTATTTCTGTGTGTGGAATGCAGTCGCAATCTTTGCCCAGATCAGAGGAATCAGGGGACAGTAGATGTTTGCTGGGACCAGGAGGGGGCTGACTTGGGGAAACAGAAGGATGGGGGGATTGCCCCCTTACCCAGGAGCTGGTTCTGTTCTCCCTGGGCTCCTTCTCCACCCGAGTGTTAGGACACAGCCTCTCTGCTCCTGGGAACATGGGACAGACAGCATCCCGGCATTCCCCGTCCCTGCCTCCAGTACCCCCTAAGCTGAGGTCGAGTGTGGACCTAGGATCAGGGCAGGGTAATGGTGTGTGCAAAGTGCTCCCTGTCTAGCTGCAAGGCCAGGGTCAGAGATACGGCAGACTGGAGAGACGGAGAGGGTGGGGTGAAGAGAGACAGGAACAGAGAAGGGCAGAGAGACAAGAGCACAGAGCTGGAGAGCCCAGCCAGCCAGAGAGACAGACACTGACCCAAGGGACAGACAGATGCGACATGGGCATGCAGAAACAGAGACGGCTGCGGAGACGCAGAGGTGCACGGAAAGAGAAACAGAAAGGAGGCAGCGCTGGGGGGACAGATGCAGAGAGGACGAGGACCGCGGGGCGTGCGCACTCACTGAACTTTCTGCTGGCCTTCTTGGGCCCTTCCGTCATCTTGGCGAGTCGTGCAAAGCCTCCGGCCGGCCGGCAAGCAGGCCCTCGGGGCTCTGGACATCAAGGTTGAGGTGCCTTCCCCAGCTCCCCTTCCCCTTTCTCTCACCCTCTCACTGGCTTCCTCTGTGTATTTTTAAACCAGCGAAACTCCCACAGCCCCACCCTCTCCACCCTCTTGCAGGGGGCGGGTGCTTGGGCCTCCCCACTCCCAGCCCCTATGGGCTGTCTCCTGGGCCTCCGCAGCAGGGGGAAGGGGGCAAACCACAAGCCCGAGGGACCTGAATGTCCAGGGAACAAACCACGGGCTCTGGGAGTGGAGCCCACTGGGTTGGGGGCACTGGGGATCTGCCAGCAGCTGCCAGGGGCTGGCCAGTGGGCTGGGAGGCAAGGGGAGCCAGGCCTTCGTGCAGAGCAGGCCATGCTAAGTCCCAGCACCCAGGAGATGGACTGGCTATGGCAGATAAGAGAGTGCCATGGTTAGGCCTCCGGACTCAGGGTCACCCAGGCTCAAGTTCAAGTCTTGGCTGTCCATGTTGTCCCCATGTGATCTTGAACTAGAAAACTCACCTTCTTGGGCCTCAGCGTCCTCTCTGTGAGTGGGGCTCAGTGCTTGGTGCAGAGCCTGGCACTGAGCTGGGTGCCTGCTAAGGCAGCCTCCCCTTCCTGAGCCAGCATGACCATGCTATACTGTGCTATAACTTGGTCCACCATGCCCACTGACTGGAGAAGGGGAAACTGAGGCACGGAGGGATTGTTTTTTTCTCCCCCCAGGTCATGCAGTTGGGGGTGGTTACAACTTGCCCCTCCAGGTCCCCTGACCCACAGGCTGGCATTCCTCTACCCTACACACTCCCCTTGTGTCTGTGCACACGCGTGCTCACGTAGGCAGGACAGAGATG